ATACCAGACCGTGTGCAAAATGCGCCCATGCTCTCCTGTGCGGGCTTTCTTCGGTGGAAATTTGCCCTGACCCATCTAACAGCTTATTACAATTCATCACAAGGTGGAAAATGTAAATAAAAATAAGATTATGCCATCTTTTTATTCATCAACCCATCCGTTCATTCATCTAGCCATTTGTTCGTCCATCCACTTATTGTCGGGGACCACCATTTCTTTCCGCTGTTGGGGAGAACTCAGCAAGCGCGAAAGACATTTCCGACGATCCCAGGTTGCCGCCAATCAGTAAAGCTTCAGCAGCTGGCTTCTGAGCTGCGACAATCTACCTAGTCAACAAGTTTCAGCTTTCTGCCTTTAGCTTTTGTTGGATCCACGCCAACAGATACTTTTCCATGAGTTTCCTTCTAGTTTCTTAGTCATACACACATTCAAGTTGAATTATGATCTCTACAGGAAAAAATGGGCAACTTACCGGCATCCACACCTTGAACGTCAGGTTCTGAAGCTCAACCTTTAGTCTTAACTGCAAATTCACTTTGGCAAGGATTTTGCCTCTACAAATGGAAGCAAATCGCGGAGTAGCGAATAACATAGGCAGCATAGGCATGTCATTCTGGCGAGTTGGTTCAGAATGGATGAGAGTTACGGCCATGCTGTCTGATGTGAGTGGCTCATAGGCCCGTGATTCGTCTTGACCCGTCTGATTGCGGTCTGTTCATTTTGATACACAACAAAAGATGTCAGGTTCATTGTCATGTTGCACATCCCAGCCAATCACCTGAATTAAAGTTAGTCACGCAAACCGTCGATGCATCTGACCATCCTATGACAACGACCCTGAACTTTCACATGTACGTTAAGAAAACACCATTTTCCTTAATACAACTGTCACCTAATTCTCTGAACCGCTTTAGCAACTGCATGCGTTGGAGGCAAACTGGATACACTAATCAGATAATTATGCAAATCTACAATTGATTGGGACGCTCCAGCACGATTCATTTCAAACGACTTATTTTGACTCAAGGGAGAATGGGCTCAACAGTCAAAAAATGAAGGATAAATAGATGTCACGCGATTATCGTGCTAACGATGATACTAATTATCATTAAGAAGACATGTGCTAGAACAATGTGGCAGCCCCTCATGCCATCATCTGATTCCATTCATCTGCAGCGCAGGCATCGACAGTAGAGTTCATATGTTGCATCTGTCAGAATGCACCCCCCCCACCTTCTAGGTCACCACCATTAGTAGCAGCCGACGTGATAACCAAGCTAGACAGTTGGTAGAGGGTCGGCCTCAAAAAGAAGAGGTTTCCGAGCTCTAGCACTGGCCAAGTCACACGCCCATCTTTAGTTAGAGGTTGATACATGAGTATGACTCAAAGCAGGAGACTACGCCCTCTGCTCGACACATGGCCTCTGTCGACTCTGCCTTCGAAAAGATTAGGCGCTTCTAGCTAAGAGCATGAAGCCCTCACCACGGACATGAGGAGGGCATCAAAAATGACCTCCTATCATGAAAGTGTAACGGAAACCGCCATCCCAACAGTTACAAGTTTAACTTTCCTCCTTGTAGTGGAAGAAAATGATCACAGCACATAGGAAAAGGTGACCCAGGTTGGTAAGGATGTCAACTTTTTGAGGAAATGAATAGCGAGAAAAAATGTGACTCGAAACCTCTAGTGGTCCTTCGGGAGGCACCATGTTAATCAGTTAGTGATATCCTAGTACCGAATTGTAAGGAAAGCGTTTTTGCTAAATAGGGCATGAAATTTATTAGGTGGTATCGCAACATATCAAACTCAACTAAGGTCCCATATACCAGATCATCCGTCATTTGAAACTCGTTGTTTTTCATTATTACTTTCATTACTATGACAGTTTACAACAGCTGACTCAATGACTGACTGATCATTCTTCGTAATTAACGTGAATGACCTTTGTTTGTTCTCGCTGCGCACGTTTGTCCATCTCTTGCGGCTTGTATATTTCTATTAAGCCACTGTCCCATTTGAGTCAAAGGCAATCTCCCACTTAGAGCTTTCTAAAATGCATCGGCCATCAGTCGATCATACACGTAGATGACAGTAGCAAATTTCTTTCTCGCTTACGATCCCATTCGACCGCAATAAATGGTCTTGGCTACTTTCCGCGCCTGCGAGGCAGCTTGTAAGAACTTTCGTTTGCCCTTCACCCTCGGCTCAGGTGACGGCTGTGTGAGGCTTGACCCGCTCTGAGTGTTCCTCCAAAAGCTCCGGCGGAGCCGCCTCTGTAGGGCGATTTTTCCTCTGAACCATGGAGCTGTATCTCATCTCCTGGATGAAGGCATTACTCGTGGGGATCTAATTCTTCAGCAACATTGTTCATGATAAATGTACTCGACACGGCTATTACCGTCATCGCTAATTGCCCTTTTTGATCCACTGCTGGATGAACACTATAAAAATTATGGCACAAAATTCTCTCGCGTATCTCGGATCCACCCTGCTGCAACAAACTAATTGGTATTGTCATTTTTTTTCATCTGGAGATGTTCCTACGTATTCAAATCGAAGACTTCATTTGCCACAGAGTCAGAATTTATGCCAACACGTCTGCATCTTCTCTTGCTCTTGCTTCATAGGTTCGAAACTTGTCTCCTCATCCTGTTATTTCTGATTTGAACTTTCCAAGCGGCATTTCACAGTTTGTAGTTTCTGATCAGCTTAAGACCGTATTTTGAAGGCGTACTTTGACATCGCAGAATAAGCTCTATTCCAGGTAGTACGATTTTTTATCTTGAAATAAAGCAAGACTTATACGGTGTGTTAATTATGACATGGTCATTTATCAGATAGGCCAAAAATCACAGTTCTCAAAGGCGCTATATCAGACAGCATAACGTCGCTCTTCCTCATTTTTCTATGACCACACCGAGATATCATTTTGTCCCTGCTGTTCGCAAATCACCTACTTTCTGTCCGTTTCTTCACTAGTTACACCAAAGCAGTGTACATTCAATTATTAGTTCACAGAAATTAAAAGTCAAAAGAACTTTTGGACGTTTGAACTCTGCACTTCCACAGTTCGAAGCTGATTTCGTATCACATCTCTGACGGTTCATCGAAAGATACGAGTCTTATATTTACCCTGCTGTACTTTCCCCAGGATTAGCTACTCCAGATATGCGCACCTTTGCACTTTCTCAAGTCTGAGTCCATTGGTCTCACTGATTTGTGGAGTATTCGTTTTTAATAAGGGCATATTTTTACATTGTTCGGAACCTTAGTCAAGTCGACTCCCACTACCTGTGTTACTTGCCTCTTGGATCTTACTCTACAGTTCTTCTGCAGATTTTATAGTGATTGGAATATGGTCAACATACCAGGAGTAGTTCATTGAAGTCCCTTGAACTATAGCGACTGCTTTTCAGCCTAGTGCCGTTAAATGCTCAATCAGAGTATCCCTAAAAATGTCTATCAATTTTATCACCTTGCCAAACTCTTCCTTTCTAATTTTAAGTTTGTATATGCTTTTGAAATATTACACTAGTTTGTGTGCTTGCATATAATGGCTAATAAGGCCTCTTCAAGTCGAAAGTCTTTTAGAACCAGAAGAATACTGTGCAAAAGAGATGACGACTGTCATTCACTATCTAAATTACTTAATACATTTCCTGGAAGGGATCTGGCTTACGAAGTTTACTTTAACCCTGCTCACTGCTTCAGTCTTGTCGAGATCAACTGATTCTTGAAGTCTCTTTGCCAGCAGCTTGCTGAAGATTTCATAGATGATCGGTAACGAACTAATCTATTGCTCAATTCTTCTGAACCACTGGTTGCTCGAATCTACCGATACAATGGCTCATTTGACGGAATTGTAGACATTTTCATTCAAAAGTAAAACAATTCTACAAAGAAAGCATCCACATGTTCCAGACATTGGTTTAAGGTTCAAGTTCATAAACTTATAAATTTTGTATGTACATGGATAGTTGTAAGGTTTTAACGTCGTGTGCCGCGCTGCGGGCACGCAGCACCGCGGTACGCCTACAAGTTGAGGAAAAACGAACCATCTCCATGGATGGAGGTTAGCTGTGACGAGTAAGCAGTCGCACACAGGCAGCAGTGAGACGACGAGGGCGTGGCTGGGTTCGAGCTCGTCAAGTTCAATCCCAAGAAAAAAAGTCAAAATATTAATGACAGTCTCTTGTCGAGGCGAAAGCAACCGGGCACTTTAAATAAAATAGATGAGGCTGCCAATGTCACATCCATCTTGCGAGAAAACGTCGATTAGTCGAAGGCCAGAAGAGCAAACGTCAATAACAAACCTGTCAGGAGGGGGGCCCGTCTGTACGAAATTCCTTGGGCCAGCGCAGCCCTGACAGCGGGTGGCAAGGCATCATGAGCCATGACGACACAAATTGTTGCGCAGGCGCGATTCGTCGCCGAATACCGACCGGTCCAGGTGATCCAGTTGAGCAAGTTCGACATGGAAACCTTGTGAGCCTAGCTGTTGGCCAACTGACGCGTCCCGTGGTTGCGGAGAGGGCAATGACCTTCACATATGGAGGTTAGCTGTGACGACTAAGCGGCGGTCTGGGACAGGCAGCGATGAGACCGTCAGGGCGTGGCTTGGTCTGACCTCGACAAGTTCGATACTCAGAGAAAAGTTACAATGCCCAATAATCCACTCATGTCGAGGCCAAAAGCGATTCGCACCTTTGAACAAACAAGATAGCCAGTGTCACCTGTGCCTTGCGGTGAGACATCGATTCGTCAGAGACCAGGAGAGAAAACATCGTTAAAAAACCTTACGAATTGGGTGACTCGTCCGTATGAAATTCCCCAGGTCACGGGAAACCCTGCCAGCGGGTGGCAAAACACCTGCGCGAATAAATGGGCCTCCGTACCTTGTTTTGGACGAAGAAGACTGGTAACCTCGAGGAATGACGGGTATGTTGCAGCTTGCGCGATTTGTCGCAGATTACCGGTCGACCCAAGTGATAGGAATTAAGTGAATATGAAAATATGGGTAATATGCAACCATCTTACACGCCATTGTGGCCAGTCCTAGGGAGGTAAATCGATTGTTAAGCGACTTCCTCCTCTGGCTGTGACGAATTAAATCAAAGTAATGGTTCGTGATGCGTAGTTTAGAGGGAGATTCACACCGCAACGAATAAGGTATAAAGAAAAAGTAAACCATTTTGAATCCATATACTAGATAATTTCCAGCACAGCAGTGAGAACGCGTAGCAACAGCAAGACTAACGAGCGATTATCAAGTCACACCCAGGATGGAGTCCACTTGCTACCTCATAATCTTGTTCAGTCAGCGTTTGCCTTGTGGCTAGTCAGATAGCGCTGCGTGGTGCAGTGAGACTTTTCATCCAGCTCCATTTGTTTACTCTTACCTTTACCTATTCTCTCAGACTTAAGGGCTGTGCTTCAGGGTGTACAAAATTGCGGTAGGGCAATTGCCCATAAATGCCTCTTTAACGGTGAGTGTGAAAGATGAAATCTGAAATGGCTAGCTGAGGGCATTGGCAAATGGGCAATGACATCACCCCATGTTTTGCTTACAAACTAAGCCTCTCAGAAACGGAGTATAATGTAAACAAGCACGAGTATAATAGTTGGTGGTAATCTGCAGCATTAATATCTCACTAACAGGCCATCCTGCACCGTTGCATCTACCCTCTGGAGCCAGGAAGATTTTCATATAGTCATTAATTGAAATTTCATCATTTCCGAGAAAATAAATTTGACAGCAAATGTCTATTTCCGTTCAAAGACCAATTTCAAACTTTCGGTTTTGCGTGTTGGCTTGACACGCATTCGCCTGTAGACATAAATCGTTAAATTCGATCGGCTCAGAGCTGTGCCCATTTCTCTAGTTCATTCGTCACGCAAAGTGTGACGTCAAAGGCAATGGGAAATGCTACGTCAAGAAAGAACGCCAGTTCTCTAACGAAGACGGGACGGTCTTTGATTCGGTTTGCCGTTTGGCCTTCGCGACGAATCCCTATTAAAACTGGTCGCCCGGTTCCATTGTTTCTCCTATGCTCGGCACCGTTTGCTGGCGCATGTGAAAGTCGAAACAAGTTTTCATCCACACGTTTCGAGTTAGAAAACACGGCAACCGACCCAAAGACCCAGGACACACTTTTCACGTGTTTTGCAATGCCTCGAATCACAAATGACCGAGATTCGAATTGCAACTGCAAGCGCTGCTTCAATTTTGACAATAGGTACAAAATTGAGCCTGCACATCATAACCATATGCGTAGTAACTAACCCTCAGCTAAGAGCCTGAGTATGGTACAGGAGCCAGTTTCGGCTAGTTGAGATGGTGATCACTCGATCACTGGTCAGAGATTTCTTTCCGTGACTAAATCCGCTTAAATAATTAATTAACTTTTTTGAATCCTTTGGGATTAATGGAATTGGAGTGACATCACAGTAATTGACGAGGGTTCACCCCGATTGGGTTGTCGAAACTCCGATCACCAAAAAACGTTCAAAAAGCCATAAGATTGGAGTAGCTTCGCCTTGTCATCGCACAAATGTTCAAAATATCAAGGATTGATGGACGGACCGACGGAACCAACATATTTGAATTATTGGGTTCTAGATCGCCCGACATCTTCACTGATTCATTAGCACTGCGTTTGACTCAAGTATTCCGATTTGCTCTGCTGATTTTAAACCCAGTATTTTTCAATGACAGTTTTTCACTCTTTGGTTTTTGCTTCTACGTCATCGACTGCGTTCGTTAAGACACCGTTTCTGAAGGTCTTTTTCTTAAGACTTTAGCCACCATTCAGAAATGAAATGGGTTCACTATCTCTATAACTGCACAAAAATGTGCCTTACCTCAAACCATTGTTGTCACTCAATCCAGAATGTCACGTTTAAGCTGGTATAATGAATATTCTTACACTTTCCCATTGCGTCTATTTTCGTTCTCGATCATAACCTTAAAACGGGTTTTGAGGCACTATATGAAAATTCCACTGCGGACCGACAGCAGGGCAAAGACGTCAGTACGAACCACGATGTTTCTGGTGAAATCGATGATCTTTCAGGCTG